CATGTTTATTCGTCAAGCCAAACACCAAGGAACAGGCAGGTCAAGATTTCTTAACCTGCACGGTAATCAGAAACCTGTCATCCCTCTGCCCCTCCCGGTCCACCGCCGGGACCAGAAACCCTGCGAGGCTCCGTGAGGTCTGCAGAGTCGGAAAACGGAGGTTTTCCTAACGGAGGAGGGCGTAGCTTGATGTGAGCGGTCAAGTCAAAGGAGGAAACTTGAGCCACATGGTCAGAAGGTGACTGGGTCAAAGTCTAACAGGATTGATCTAATCAGCTCTTCCACCCAAAGCATTAGAGTCATTTTGAGAATGAAACCCCTTTTGTTTAAACACAGATTAGATCACAGCAAGCACGCACCTTGTTTATATTTAAATTCCATTAGGCTCATCAGACATCCTTCTACCTGCAGTTGTTTGATCAGCTACTTTTGCACCGCCGATGCTAGCCACGCCCTGTATGGTAACAAAAACAACAGTAGTTTTTTTAATTATCAGATCAGATGGCATTAAGACTGGGGCCAAATTCTTTTCCTGCCCCCCCCCCCCCCCCCCCCCCACACACACACACACACACACACACACCGTATCTTGTTTTTAGCGTGAGGTAATGCCGTTCAACCGGTTCTTCCCCTTTCTCTACCTCGTCTTTGTGTGTGTGTGTGTGTGTGTGTGTGTGTGTGTGTGTGTGTGTGTGTGTGTGTGTGTGTGTGTGTGTGTGTGTACACCTGAGTTTTACCTCCCTCCAGGCACCTGCCTGTAAGTGAGAACATCCATGAATCATAAACACAGTTTTTTTTTATCCGTATGACTGGAAGGATTTTTTTTATCCTTTTTTTTCTCCAACAAGGCGAGGACAAAAGTTAATTTCATGTCAAAAAGTAGAGATTAAGTTACTTTAAGGAAACAATGTAAATGGATTTCCCATCATTCAGTCTAGTTTTCCAGTCAGCGTTCACGTTTCTGGTAAAAATCCCAAACCGGACTCATTCTGTGACCCAGAGGGGTGTCCACCTTGAACAACCATTTCTTAGAACTTCATGACAGTGCTCCAGAGCGTGTTCTCTAACAAACTAGATCCCATTTCATGTGTCACCTTGGGTCAGATGAGGCTACAGATTAACGGTAAACATTACATCACCTGCTCACTGAGTGATCCAGCCTTTTAATTATTCTGATGGACTCTTCTGGAAGTAGAAAATGACATTAGGAGACGCCATCGAACATCTACCTTTTGTGAAAGTCACTAGTGAAGCGGAATTGAAGGTAAGGAAAATTAGCAGCATTGATGCTGCTTTAAAATCACCGTTTCTAAACTCAAAACAGCAAAAAATGCCTTGAAGATCCCCTACTATACTGTACATCACAGCGCTTTGTGGTCTCACAGAGCCCAGTACAAACTGGTGCTTCCTCTGATTACTAAACACAGCCTTTTACGTCATACAGCTTTTCTCCTCGTCCCCCGATTGGGTTCAATTATGGCAAATTTTGATAGAAACGAGATCTGCAGCAAGAAAACGTGAATGTCGTAATGCGGCCCAGTCCAAGCCCAGACCTAAGGTCCCATTGTGGAGAGATTTGAAGATTGCAATCCCCCAACATCTCCAATTTGACCCAGATTGATTCTGTAAAAGAAGGGAGGGCAAATATGGCTCAATCTAGATGAGCAAAGCTGATGGAGAAGTGTCTCAACAGACTCAAGTCTGTTATTAAAGCAAAAGGTGGTTCAACTATTTCTTGTTTTAATTCATCTTTTCTAAGGGGATGAAAGATACCCAGTGTTTCTCTATGGGGTCCAAAAGCCTAACTAGCCAGGGGAAATAGAAATATCACACTCAAAAAGACGATGATGTGGTTTCAGGGGTAATTAACACTCCTCATGCTTTCAACGAGGATATGAGGAACTAGAAGTAAACCTAAATGTTAATCTATGGTGTTGGTTATTTTAGGAAACTGGAACCTGTAGCTTCTTTTGTTAAATCAGTTGATTTTACTGAACAATAAAATTGAAAACAGTGTTTATACTTGTAGGTTTGAGCTCGAAGACCAAAGGGATTGTTTTGCAGATGAAAGTGTAAAATCTAGCTTTATTCATTGTTTTGTACACCTATCCTAAATACAGACTTAACCTTCGAGGCTCGATGAAAATAAAGGCAGGCGCAACATAAGGTGAGCACCTGATTTGTAAACATTACAGTTGGAAAAAATAGTTTTTCCATGAAATCATAAATATTATCATTAATGCCCTTGGTAATGTGATTGATTTTGGTAGCCAAGTAGGCTTTTAGTATAATGATCAGGTGCTGTGCAAACATTCAGCTCCTAATGAGTGGAAAAAGCTGCCAAAGTTTATATAAAAACTGTTGATCAAAACCAAGATGGTGGCACAAATACTCCTATGTCATCAACCAAGCCTAGTTCACATGCCAAAGTAATTCTGCAGATTTTTTGACCAGATTCTCCCCTTCCAACAATCTTAAGGCTCCCGATTACCAGAATGGCTCTAAGGACAATCTTATCAGATAATCCTGCCATGTGTGGTGTACTAAGAACAGAGCATGCCGGGACTGTTCCGATCATAAATCGGGGATGTTGGCCGGACTTCACAGACAAACAAGTGTACTGTGTGTTGAATGTGACATGTAGTCAATCTAAATGCAAGGAGATGGAAGCACGCTGTACGCTTCTCCTCAGCCATGTTTTATTCCGCCAAAGTCATGTTTGATCTAAAGAGGTTTTACGGGATTTCCTGTCTGACTGAGAAGGTTGGCGACTTTTGTTTTGGCCTGACGTTTATACAGAGTTTCTGTAGGACACTACAGGAATAAAACTGTTAAATTCATCATTCAACAATTTAAAAATTCTGCCGTGTGCACAGAGCCTGAAAGGCTTTTAGATAAACCTTGTCTTAGAGTGATCTAGATAATTTAAAGAGCAAGTCACCCCCAAATAAACATTTTTTTGCTGATAAACTAAATAAACGAGTGTCTAATCGTGCTGCAGACATGTGTAGTCAATAATTTGGCACTTCAGTGCATCTTAGTTAAAATTTAAATATTCTGCCTAAAACTGGCAGTTTTGTGCCGCTGTCAGGTAAAAACTCTGCACTGTATTTTAATTTAAATCTGCCACTGCTATTGACTAGTAAGCTATGATGTAAACTGGTACATTATGATGTCACAATGCTGTCGTGAGCCTGTGTGTGTGTGTATGTTAGCAGCTCCGCCTTCTCGGTCTGCCAGGCAACAGCTGATCTGACATCATGAGTAATGCACAGGTGTACCTTAGACTGCCCACAATAAAAGGCCACCCTGGAATGTGCAGTTTTGTCTCACGGCAAAATGCCACAGATGCCTCAAGCATTGAGGGAGAGTGCAATTGGCATGCTGACAGCAAGAATGTCAACCAGATCTGTTGCTCGTGCATTGAACATTCATTTCTCCACCATAAGCCATCTCCAAAGGCATTTCAGAGAATATGGCAGTACATCCAGCCGGCCTCACAACCACAGATGAACGTGTAACCACACCAGCCCAGGACCTCCACATCCAGCAGGTTCACCTCCAAGATCGTCTGAGACCAGCCACTCAGACAGCTGCTGAAACAATTGGTTTGCATAACCAAACAATTTCTGCACAAACTGTCAGAAACCGTCTCAGGGAAGCTCAACTGCATGCTCGTCATCCTCATCAGGGTCTTGACCTGACTCTAGCTTGTTGCCGTAACAGACTTGAGTGGGCAAATGCTCACATTCGATGGCGTCTGGCACGTTGGAGAGGTGTTCTCTTCACGGATGAATCTCGGTTTACATTGTTCAGGGCAGATGGCAGACAGCGTGTGTGGCGTCGTGTGGGTGAGTGCTTTGCTGATGTCAATGTTGTGGATCGAGTGGCCCATGGTGGTGGTGGGGTTATGGCAGGCAGGCATCTGTTATGGACGAAGAACACAGGTGCATTTTATTGATGGCATTTTGAATGCAAAGAGAAACCGTGATGAGATCCTGAGGCCCATTGTTGTATCGTACATCCATGAACATCACCTCATGTTTCAGCAAGATAATGCACGACCCCATGTTGCAAGGATCTGTACACAATTCTTGCAAGCTGAAAATGTCCCAGTTCTTGCATGGCCAGCATACTCACCGGACATGTCACCCATTGAGCATGTTTGGGATGTGCTTGACCGGCGTATATGACAGCGTGTACCAGTTCCCACTAATATCCAACAACTTCGCACAGCCATTGAAGAGGAGTGGACCAACATTCCACAGGCCACAATTGACAATCTGATAAACTCTATGCGAAGAAGATGTATTGCACTGCATGAGGCAAATGGTGGTCACACCAGATACTGACCGGTTCTGAGTCCCCAGATCCCCAATAAAGCAAAAAACTGCACATTCCAGGGTGGCCTTTTATTGTGGGCAGTCTAAGGTACACCTGTGCACTACTCATGATGTCAGATCAGCATCTTGATGTGGCACACCTGTGAGGTGGGATGGATTCTCAGCAAAGCACAGGTGCTCACTATCACACATTTAGACTGATTTGTGAACAATGTTTGAGAGAAATGGTGATATTGTGTATCTGGAATGAATTTTAGATCTTTAAGTCCATCTCATGAAAAATGGGAGCAAAAACAAAAGTGTTGCGTTTATATTTTTGTTCAGTGTATTTGACCTGTTAGAATAAAAAACAAGCTTTTCTTCATTTGTTCTTTTTATGACTTTTCCCACAACACGGAAGGATTAGGATGACGTTCGCTGACTCATCGGATCCCGAGTTTTCACACAGATCGTAACCCTATGAGTCTGAATTCAAACCACCCAATAAAAGAACACATTAGCTGAACCAGACACCATCTGGGTTTCGTAACAGACGGCAGGTGTCAAATGACAAAAACACAGGTTACCAACAGATACGAAGGTGTGCTCATTCATTCATTCATAAGTCGGTAAGAGGATATACGCACATTTAAAACAAAAACCACCCCAAAGCGGCACTTTTCACTTAACAGTAAGTTTTATTTTTTTTGTAGAAAAAGAAACTATCACAACTTCATTTGGTTACTGTACAACGTTTTCACCTCATTTCACCTTTTCAACTCAGGCTGATTAACAGGTGGTTATTTCATGCTGAACACCCGCGACTATCTTTAACACAACACTTTAATGCACTGCCCTCTCCTTCCTGTTTTGTGTCCAACATCCTCTTGATGTTCTGGAGTGAAAATAGAAACAGATAGAAACCACTTCTATTAAAAAAAAATACATAACCAAGTAGAAATCCCTGACAGTGTCACTTCAGAAAACGAGGGACTAGAGAGAGAGATCACTCTTTAAAAAGGTGTGGTCCACATCAACATGTTGCACCTGACGTGTTTCTCTTTTGGACAGCACCATAATGAACCCAAAACGTGAGCTGAAGAGGCTCCCTGCATGCGTGAGTGAGGAGTGAGTGGGGGGGGGGGGGTGAGGAGTGAATCTAGGTCAGACTGTGGCGCATGCCCCCCCCCCCTGCAGTGAAATGTTGGCTGTTTGGTGGATCGTTGATCCACATAGGTGGGGGAGATGCCTGTAAATGTGGAGTGCAGCGATTTAAAGAATGTTTCCCTGAGAAACACGTCGCTCTTCAGTACCTTAAAACTGTCCAACACTGACCTGTCGTCTACAACCCCCCCCCCCCAAAAAAAAACTACCTACTCGATCCTCTCCTCGTCTTACTCGCAATCCTACACATTGTCAAACAACACCCCAGAAAATCGCCCTAACATTTATGTTCTGAATCTCCCGTATTTATCGGTTTAGCCGTGCCTCGTAAAAGTCTCTCTGTGGTGAGGTTGTGGAGGACTACTGTCCTCCACAACCTCACCTCCCTCCCCATTTCTGTCACTAGTGTGGCGAAGCTAAAGGGGGAGGATGACAGCTGTAAATAGGTTGTCCCATGCCCTTTCCTTCACACATCAGACACTGAGCTGACATGCAAACGCGGCGGCCAGCAGATTTTGTTGCTCTTCACCACACAAATAACCCGATCCTGTTTAAAAACTTTGTGCATAAAAGATGTCAGTCTCTTCTAATAACTTAACATTGATCTAGGTAACTAACCTGATTCATCTCTGTAGCCCTTTTCAAGTTTCACAAGTATGAAAATGGCAGCGTCATGTGTGTGTGTGTGTGTGGACAGTGACAGTGCAGGTGTGCTCAAGTGTGTCTGTGTTTTAGCTAAAAACAAGCACAGAATAAAAACACATCCTCCTTAACGAAGCTCAAACAATTAAAAGTTTCTTTTTTTAAAAGCGTTATCTAAATCAAACCTCATCATCAGGCTGTAAACGGAAACTTTTACAGCCTCTGTATAAAAACGGGCGCCGTCTCCCCCGATAGAGTTTGCTTCACTAGTAATAAAACCAAGAACCGGGGGTGTCGACACCCCTCAGTTTATAACATATAACAGAACAACCAAACGAGTTTTAAAACCACTTTATCTGGACTCCTCCTGAGGAATCTTTATTATGAGACAAGTTTAGGTAGGACCGTGCGAAGAGACTCCCCCGCGTCTCCCATCGTGTTGCTCTTCAGTTTGTTGCTGGCGGCTGTGGTGCCTAAGCCCGGCCCCCCCTTAGCCAAGATGGAGGGAAAAGAGGTGCTGTGGTGCTCCGGGAGTCGTTTCACAGTTGCCCCCGGGCTCTTCTCGGGCCCGGATAAGGGTTTGGGAAGCCGGCGAAAAATCCAGGGGTGCCTGAGGGCCTGGGAGGGGGTGAGGCGGGATGAGGGGTCCCAATCCAAACACTTCTTTATGAAGTCAGTAAACGTGGGGTCATCGCAGCCCTTTAGAGCGACACACCAGTCCTTGCTGCCCGGGGGGCCTCGCATCTTGCCGCGGCGTGAACGAGACCCCGTCAGCACGGCGGCACCGCTCGACAGGGTGTTGACCCCGCAGTAGCGAGGGTGGCCCTTGGAGCTGATGAAGTTTTTAGCCCGTTTGGCCTGCTCCAGCACCTTCTGCGGAGGCATTCCCAGCAGCTCCATGACACACGCCAGCTGGTCGCCCTCATCCTCACCAGGAAACAACGGGTAGCCGGTCAGCAGCTCGGCCAGAATGCAGCCGAAGCTCCACATGTCGATGGGAAGGCCGTAACGAGAACCGAGGATCACCTCTGGGGCTCGGTAGAACCGGGACTGGATGTAGGTGTACACTCGCTGGTGTTCAAAGCAGCTGGAGCCAAAGTCAATCACCTAGCAGGGACAGGAGACGTGGGTTTATTGAAAGAGTAAAAGGAATGGGGGAATTGTCAGGAACATGAAGGAGTCGGGAGCGTTACCTTGATGCCGCTGCGGCCTTGCTGTTTGAGGAGGATGTTTTCAGGCTTCAGGTCACAGTGAATGATCCTGTGTCTGTTCAGGGCCTCCAGGCACTGCAGGATGGAGTGTGCAAACTTCCTGACCAGAGGTAAGCTGAAGCCTTGGAACTTGTTGCGCTTGATGAGCTCGTACAGGTTCATGCTCAGCAGCTCAAAGGTCATGCAGATGTGATTGCGGAAGGTGAAGTTTTCCAGCATGTGCACGACGTTCATGGCGCCGTTACGATCCTGCTTGCGCAGGTGCTCCAGGATACGGATTTCCTCCTGCGCCTGCCGATGGAAACGCTTCTCATTACGCACCATCTTCAAAGCCAGGTGCTGCTGCAGCTTGTGGTCGTATACTTTAGCCACTTGTCCAAAGCTGCCCTTGCCGATGATCTGAAATTAAAACAGAAAACCAGAGGGATGAGGGAAAAAGAAAAAAAAGCATTTGAGGTGAGCAAAAACAAAAGGTTTGTGTCTTACTTTGAGGAACTCGTATCGGTAGGCCAGGTGGTCATGAGGAACGTTAATGTACCCGCCCTGATCGTCGTCGTAGCCGCAGTTGTTGTTGCCCCCAGCAACAGCAGGCCGCTTCTTGGCGCTGGGTCCCACAAAGTAAATGTCTGGGTAGGAGTGGATCTCGGTCTGCTCCAGGGCAGAGAGCTGAGACCGGTAGAGTCTCAGGGCCTGGTCAGGGCTCAGGGGGCCACACATCTTCCCGCTGCTCCCTCCGTTTCCGGCTCCGTGTGTCCCAGAAGACTCACTGGAGCCTTTAGTAGAGTCGCTGCTGTGGGAAAGAAGTCTGATTATTTAACTCTTCAAAAAGACGAGTCTCTAAGCATTTATTTAATAACTGGCGTCTTTCCCCCACCTGTCCGTGCTGGACAGACTGGACACAGGGACAGACTTGGTGGGCGTCTGGCTGGTGCTCCCGCCGTTCTGAGTGATCGATGTGATGGTGTTGACTTTCCGGTTATTTGTCGAGTCTTCGTACAAGTACTTGACCTTCAGCTGGCCACCTCGCGTGGCCGCCTGATCCCTCATGATGGTCTTGTTGCTCACAACCTGGAACAGAGACAAAATAAATTAAATTAGGAAATCCAAAAGAGGAGAGTACTCTAAAGCATAAAAGTAATTACATCCCTTAAAGGACCAAATCAGAGATGCTGAACAAGTTGTCTGTGACCAAAAACACAAATTTAAATCAATATCAACTCAGCAGAGCAGCAGATCCAGTTCTGACTGTAAACATCAACCCTCAGGTCTCCAGTGCAAGTGCAGCGTGTGTGTGTGTGTTGGTAAACTGGCCCAACTGGATCCAGATCAGGTCTGACTGTAAATGCCCCGAAGCCACAGACCCACACCCAACCGAAACGCATGCACAACCACCGCCTACCCGTTTGTCTGACAGCTGTTCGCGATTACGCATCGGGAATAAACTATCATCCAACAGCAACACGGTAACCTCACATGATCACAAATCTGCTCACAAACACAACTGGTAGAAATATAAGAGCCTAAAAATAGAGTCTTTCCGGTAAACCCAAGGACTACATTCTTCCTCACTGTCTGTCCTCCAGGGGAAAAACCCTCCACAAGATTATGGAGCAGGGAAGAAAGAATAGTCATTAAAGTGAGATTATACTCTGGAGAAGCAGTTCAGACAGAGTCGAAGCCATTGCGACCTCCCGACGCGGCACTCGGACGCACTAGAACACGTTTTCCCTCAGCACGTTTGAGCAGTTTGGAAGTGGAGTTCTGAAGAAGCACACGACAAGGACTCGATCTTTAAAAGTAGGTGTTGACACGTTCCCTTGAAAGAGGACTCAGCTGATGGCAAAGTGTTTGTGTCGTAAGTTTGAGTCCCTAAAATAGAGGCGGACTGGCTTCCATAAGTGTAATTATATAGTCGTAACATATCACGGGCCCTTCTGCTGAACAAGGGTCTCATGCAGCTGTTGTCCTAAAGCAAACACGGCAAATGTCATCGATCCAGCCCCCCCCCCCCCCCCCCCCTCGCGTGCCCACATAGAATCAAAGTGTTCCACGTGAGCTGCGCTGTAAAGGGCTGACTGGGTGGAATCAGAAGGAAACAGTTCTATACGTGGATGGAAACAGGAAGTGGTGTGTGTGTGTGTGGAGCTTCTATAAACACAGGTGAGGGTGGTGTGCAAATCACTGCAACAGATGGAGAGGAGCTAATCTGTTTGCTGTAAGACTCCTAAGCACTCCTTCCTTCTCTCCCGACGCGCACGGCGTTTCACAAAAGAACCTAAAGAGCTCGTTTTCTCCTCCTTGTGGAGTGTGAGCCTGACGGGAACAGAGAACCAGGCCTAACCTCGGTGTGAGCTCACTGATGGGAGGATTATACGAGTACAGGAGACGGGGACGAAGAGGATGCTGATTGGTGATTTTGTTTGTGGGTCACATTTTCAAGCCCAATAAATCTTTACAATGTGTCAAAGCAGCCTTTCTGCCCTGATGTGTGTCACCGTTTGTGCACGTACATCAGCTCAAACTGGGAAACCTAGCAAGGACAGCGACTGACCATTCCTGTGTTTGCTAATGAATGATGAACAGATGCATCGATTCGGGTTTTCTGTACAGCTCTGAGCCGCTGATGCTGGTTTCGGCCGATCTGAACTCATCTACAGATAATAGAAATGTTTGTCTAAACATAACATTACTGTTATTGCTAGAAGGGATTGGCACTCGGCAGTGGGGAGTTCAAAAACTACAGGATCATTTTTCTAATGCTCTTATTTATTAGAATAAAAGATCATTCATAGTAAATTCTTGTCGGTCCTTAGCGACCTTCTCACTAGTAGTACGAGTGTTCGCCCTGGGATTGGCAGGCTGGGGTTCAAATCTGGTCGGGTCACACCAAAGAAAATGCCTCCTCACTTGACACCCAGCTTAAAGTGGTTGGACTGGGGGGGGGGGGTTAAACCACAAAATTGTTCCCGAGCGCAGCCATAGCTGCAGCTCACCACTCCCCATAGGGATGGGTCAACTTTAATCTGAACTAAATCCACTTATCAGCGACGATAAAAGGGACGACTTACCGGTGATTAAAATTTGCCTCTGATTTGTGAGAACTTTCTCCACACTGACCTATTCTTCTGTCAAGTAATTTCTTCAAAATAATTTATACATTTATTTATGTTTTATAATCTATAATTTCTGTCTGCAAGCTGTTTACATGACGATGTGCAAACCAGTCATTTAAGAGGGCTCCTGGGCCCGTTACAAAGCCCAGGAGCCTAACCCTAACTCTAACCCCAAACCATGTGACAAAGTTTCATCTGCTATAAAAGGCTCAAAGCACAAGTTGTTAGAAACCCCTTAACATCTACTAAACTGCTCTCGGATCACCACTTTTATTGCTAGAAAACAGTCGAATGTTTTGCTTACTTTGTATACAGCTAGAGAGCTGCCCAGTAAAACCATTATGCTTGCATGCCCTCAGGAAGTCAATCAATGCCACTCATGTGATTACAGTTTTCCCATCAAACTGCTGCCTGCACTTATCACACTGGAGATAAGAGATAAGCCACAGAAACAGAGGGAGGAGGAGGTTTATGATGAATAGAAACACGAGGGGATGTCTCTCCGAGGAACAGGATGTCTCAAGACAGACGCAGTCTCAGCACAGGAAACAGAGCTTAACTGGCTTGTGTGTGTGTGTGTGTGTGTGTGTGTGTGTGTGTGTGTGTGTGTGTGTGTGTGTGTGTGTGTGTATGAGAGAGACTTTGTTTCTACTCACAGTGTGTTTGGGTACCGGGGGCAGCCCTGAAGGACTGTTAGTATCTGCTTCGTTTTTTAGGATGTGGTCGGTCCTCATGTAAGAGTCGTACAGGCCGTCACCGTGGCGTGCTGAGGGGAAGACAAACAGACAAATAAATACATCGGAGTGGCGGCCATTTGCAACACAGACACACCCGAGGATGAAAGCAGCAGTGAATACATGTGGAACCTCAAATGGACAAAGCTTGCCTGATCACCAGCTCCAAAAACGACTTTAACGGTTGGTACAGGCCAGCCTCAGCAGCCAGCAGGAATGAGCTGCATGTCTGTTTACAGTGAAGAGGCCATCATTAGCAGATACAGCATTGTAGCTATTGTGTTCAATACATTGTATCCAGGACCAGGGCCCTGACCCAACCAGCTTAGATGGGGCTTAGGGTCCCAGATCGTTAGCATTGCAAGTGGTATTATTGGCCTAATGGGGGTAACAGACGCCTCTGTGACGACAGCATCTTTCCATCTGTCCATCTGTCCATCCAGGCCAAGTCATTTAAGGCACACACACCAGGTGTGCTTGGGAGTGGGAGCCAGCAGAGATGGATGTGGGGGCTTGCAACTCAATAGTGCCGAGTTTCACGCTCACCTCGCTGGCATCAAGACAAATACAGTAATGTGAGATGATACTGGAAGGGGTAGATGGATGAGCGGGATATTTGGGACGGTAGTCGGAAGCCAGTTAGGAAAATTACAAATGCCCATCAGCTGTCTCCCTATCTCAACAGCCATCTATAACAAGGAAAATACCTCTGTTAACTCAAAACTAAAGCTGAAAACCCCGCCAGTCACTGCTGGCCGTAGAGACATTGGTTTGGTTTCTTTACATTAAAGCCTCCAGTTTTAGGCCTGTCTGTAGTTCCACCTGGCTGATCCCTGAGAGTGTTGTAACCATAAGAAGATGCGTCAGAGCCCCTGTCCCTTGTGCTGCTTCATCAACAGACCTGGACAGATTATCTGCTGCTTGGATACAGACGCATTAAACCTGCACAGCACAGCAACCAGCAGCATTATGACCACACACACACCATTAACCCTCTGCAAACTCTTCATCGCTCAACACTTTTCAAGGCAGTCTAGAGCTCATCTAACCTACACCCAGCTGGTTTTCCACCTCAAACAGACTTTTTTAGTAATACAAGTTAGAGAGCAACGCTCCAGGTAAAACACACCCACAGCTGATCATGTTTCACAAAAATTGAGCTCCAACAGTTCCTGGTTTTACATAATAAAGTCAGAAAATCCATTATAGACTGATAACAACGAGTGTGAGGTCTAAACCAGCTAATATCCCAGACAATAACAGTGCTTACTGGAGATCAGACGTGAAAACAAGGCTGCACTTCCCTGACTATCTTCCAAAACATCCACACACTTCCGCAATCGATAAGTAGCCTCGAAGTGAAACATGTTTACAAACCCCGCATTTTATGAAAACCCCAGTACACGGTGACACCAGCTGCATCTGGCTGTTGGAATCGTTTCAAGCCTTCAACAAAACTGGGAACCTAAACTATTTAAGGGTTATATGACGCCACGTGACTCTCAACTAGCAAGATGTTTCCTGCTTTGACAATCGACATGGATGAAAAGCACAACACACCATAAACACAAAGCAGGAGCTGGTTTTGTGGTTACCTGTTGCTATTGGGCCCTCAGGTTTTCTGCTTATGATCATCATAATTAAGATGTAGTTCCAACATCCGAAGTGGGGGCAAAATCCCGGATAAAACAAACAAAAAGAGAACACAGCTAAAACTTAAACTCGGTTAATAACATCTAAAACTTCTTGTTTTGAAAGTCTGTGTGTTTATAGAGTTCAGCAACCGTTGAATGGGTCTGGTTGAACCAATTCGAGTAGTCTTCTTTATTGTCAGCGTTATTTATTGGGTTTAAATGAGATTCATCCACGTTTTCACACGCTCCGCTGCTGTGCGGAAAAAAAAAACCCTCAACAGGCAGTGGGGGTCGTTTCCTTCAGCTAGCCAGCCAGCTAGCATGAACAGCCGCAGAAAAACACCCGTCCGGACCGGAGCCGCTCCCTCTGTTGAAAATAGTTTGAGTCCAAATATCACAGCTAGCTGGCCTGGCCCTCGAACCCCTCGCCTTTCTCTCGCGGTACAATGAGTCGGTCAAGAGCACCATTCCCGTCTCGGTAGTTAGCAAACAGCTATGCTGCCACTCGTCGAGCCCCGAGGATTTGTCCTCCTTCGGGACAGCTTCACTCGTTTTCAAAGACCGCTACCTAAAAGAAGCAGACAGGTTGTGTACAAGCCCCATGTTTGCCGCGAAAGCAAACGGAGGATCCTCTCTGCGTGAATCTTCAGCTGGAGTCAGAGCAGTAATGCTGCGCTGTTAAATCCCTCTTCTGAGTGGTGAAAGTATCTTATTCGACCGAGCTGTGTGTTGTTGCTAAGGGCGTCTTCGGTGAGCCTGGAGTCAGCATGCAGGCGGAGGGAGGGCGGGGCTTGGAGGGCCTGCTGAAAACGTGTGGAAACAGCGCCTCCCCGCGGCTATCGGGAGTACTGCACAACACATTAGAGGACTATGATAAATACACTTTTTAGCCTTTTAAACCTCGATATAAAACCACAGCAACTCGTGACTCTGACAATTTCTGTTTTAAATATACAAAGACAACTAATGGGAAACCACAGCTGGGTCTTAACCACAGCTTTTGAGAACTGATGCTGTAGAACACATGAAACAAATGTGCAAGTGAATTTTACATGGAATGCTACTTATCACATGGACATTTGTACAGGTTACAGATAGAACCAAGAAAATGCTCCTCATTTCCTATATTACTTTAAACAATGGATTTAAAACAAGCACCTAAATGGACTATAGATCCTGAAGCTAAACCAGATTAGGTTTTTGTACAATTTTAATTTAAACTTAAACTGTAGAACCACTTAAAACCACTTAAACTCTTTTCCAGTTTGATAAGCATTTTCACTGCTGTTTGGTGTAGATAACACTTCAAATAAATGGCTGTCTTGGCATGTGTATAAATGTTTGAAACATAAATTAGCTGCAGGCTTCTTCAGGGCAGCACCACGCTATTGGTCACTCAGTATACAGACCCTATGAGGAAAACTGTGGATTGAAACTTGAGAGCTTCTGGAGATCCAAACGGGGCTAGAAATAGTTGGAGGTGGTAAAGAGGACAGACGGAGTAAGGGACCGGGTCGGCATGAGAAGGGGAGCAGGGCTAAATTGAGGCGGTGATACATGCTGGACAGAGGGTAACTCTAATCTTAGCTCTTTCTCAGAGGTGACAAGAGGGTTCCGTCTATATTTGCTGCCATAAATAATTGTGCTGACACAGTTTCAGGCTGCCCTCTGGCTTGAAGCCAGCACTTAGACCCAGTGATTTTTATTTGATGGTGTACGGCAAGAGTAGGGTGCAGTGCCTATAAACTGATGTTCTTTTGGCACTTTCCTCAAAAAATAATGGGAGGCGTGTGATTAGTCACAGATGGTGCTTTTACAGCTGCAGCAAGACACAGGACCAGGTGTAAAGCTACACCTATAGGTGTGTGTGTTTACACAAGTGGGGTCTGGGTGCATTTGGCCCTAAACTGACCCTAAACCCTGTGCCACATGTGAGTGTATTGGTATAGCAACAAATAGTGAAAACACTTTGAACACAAAATCCTCCATAAAGCTACTGATTCAGAGGTAAAATGGTGAAAAAGTAAATGCTTAAGTGTATGCAGGGAAGTAGAAGATAAAATAAAAATTAATGTGCTCTCCACACAGCGGGTATCTAAGATTTTGAGGGAATGTCTCCACCTGCTGGTGATTTGGTGGTATAACAAGTTGACTAAAACATCTCAGATCAAAGCTAAACAAGATAATCTGATCATATCCGGATTAAAATGAACATCTAAACGGATGTGTTGTTACTTTATAACACATCTTAAGTTAAATATACTCAGACAACAGCATTTTGATACAGAGGTTAACTTTATTCCCTTTAACTTTTCTGTAGATTTACTCATGTTTATTCACACTTCAACAAATAAAACAAAATACATTTTTAAGAAACAAAGCAACTACAATAATCTCCAAGACATAATTTTACATGGATGGTTGTGAACCATAAAATAAATAAACACACACACACACACACACACACACACACACACACACACACACACACACACACACACACACACACACACACACACACTTCCATACCAAGTGTATTAGAAAGGAGAGGAGTTATTTTAAAACGTGGACAAAAAAGATTCAGAACCACATAAGAAACAGAAACTTGCACAGATGCAAAAAAGCACCTGTGTGTGTGTGTGTGTGTGTGTGTTTGTCCTCAGGAAGCTGTGTGTGCTGACACACTTGCTGTGGAGCCAGAAGAGGGCGCTGGAAACAAAAGGCACTGCCAGCAGGAACAGCTGCAGGTGGTTGTAATAAATACACACATTACAGAGAATGCATGTGCTTATGGTCTACCGGTCTCACTTACCAGTATTTTAAATAAATAGAATAAAACACGTAAAAATGTGTGAGATTTGAAGAGATTCAATACACATGCACACCCAGGTTTACACTCCAAATTTAATCAAAGCTACAAAAGCATGTTTAAATACTCAGTAGGCGAGGCCTGAGGAAGGAGCACTGATAAAACACGTACGCACGCACGCACGCACGCACACACACACACACACACACACACACCAGCAGGAAGGATCACAAATAATATTCATATAAAACAGTTAAACCTCATCACTCTTTTGTTTTTCCAGTGTATATGTAACACACACACACGCACACACACACACACACACACACACACACACACACACACACACACACACACACACACACACACACACACACACACACACACACACACACACACACATCATTGGTACATCATAGCCTTAATCAGGATATTTCAATATAATTTTACTTATTCTATTTGTGGAATAAAAGTGGATATTGATGGGAAAAACCTAAAACAAATAAAAGCCATTATGGAAAGTTATTTGTGCATGTCTGTGACATCACTGACGCCATTATATTTGTTTTGTTCTAGTTCACAAACTTCACTAACTGGAACATTTGGTTGCCTCAGTTGAATAAAACCACTAACAAGTAGGTCTATTCTGCCAACTTGTGGCACTTTCGTCTAACATTAGTCAGCTGTTTTCATGCACTGGTTGTCCAAAGATCCCAACTAGTTAGTTTTTATGTACCAAACTACTAGAAGGTTGTGTCAAACAAGCTAACTAGTAAACATAAAAGCGCCTTTCAGTGCAAACAGTTTTGACTTTTTGAGTTAAAGCAGCTGTCCAGAGTTTTCCCCGTTCAGGAGTTATGTATGATTTTTCACAAACACACAAGTGATTGTCTTATCATGTTCTGTGATATCATTTAAGAAATATGTATTTTTTCCCCTAAGCCCACCCCCTGTTCCATAGAGCTCAATGCAATATGAAGTGAGCGCTGATGACCAATAGTGTTAGACTACAGCTTACGTACAGATGTCAATCACAGAGCGTTCTCCAGCATTTAATGGACATACCTCAGTTGATGCAGGTTGGCGACCTTTCTTATGGACAAGTAAGGATTTAAAATAGAAATATATGAAAAGACAAAATAACATGAACATTAAAATATTAAAACAATGCATTTTAAGCTCTGTTTTGTTGGTTAGAGGAGTGCATTAATGAACGAGGAGTTGCTTTCAGCCTTAAATACGGAAATGAAAGTAGGTCATGACGTCATTCGCTTGTCAACCACTAGATGGTGCCATCAGATAAAAGAACAGCTACTTTAACGAATGGAGCTAAAATTGTAACTTGTAAGCTTAGTCTTATGTAATAATAATAGTTGTAGAACGATGCATTAGCTCTGGAGGACGGGCTTAAGGTGCAGGGTTTCCCCCAGGGCTTTGTAAGCCTGGCGGCCTGCTTGGCCACCCGCCATGCTAAGCGTCATGCCCCGCCTCCCTCCCTGGCTCTACCTGTCCACTGACACAAACAGCGCAACGGAACTAGAGCCCTCCATCAGCTGAGAACGTTTGTCACCCCCCCCCCCCCCCACCCCCCACCCCGCCGAATCCACCAGGCTTAACTCCAATTTCTGGGGAAACCCTGAGGTGTAATATATTTTTCCACCTCTAGATGGTGCCCTCTGAGAAAAAGAAACTCTGGATTTCTGCTTTAATTGACTAGTGCAACTAATTTAAGTCTTTTAAGTCAACAAATCCTAATTGCTAACTACTTTACTTATTAATGCTTTTTGACTTTACTAGTTAACTAGTGCTCGTAAAAATGTCAACTAGCCAACCAAAATATTGTAACATTACAGTGTAGTGGTGAACTAGCAGAGCAAAATGAAGCTTGGTATCAGAGATATTGAATAAATACACAAATGGCTTGCCAGAGAATCCAGGTCAGTGATCTGTGGCCTGAACCCATTTGTGCAAAACAGAAGCTGTTTATTTTTGCACTCTTTAACTGAACAAACCCTTAAATGTCTCTAATCCCATTTAGATTATCTAAATAAATCTGTAAATATAAAATTTGGTGTAAAAGTTCTCTCACATTCAAAAACAAGATAAATACAGGAACAGTGGATCAGGTAAAGGTCCTCGAGCCGCAACTCCCAACCTCACATACAAGGTTGGTAAGATCGGGATAAAAAAGGAATGATGTCACAGTTATTTATCAGCCACTCAGAGGGTGGGATTGTGTTTCAGAAAAGTAAAAGAAAACAAGGGTTAGATGTGAGGATCACGTCTCACAACGGGTGTGCGTTCATCCAACAAACAAGGGAATGGGACTCCACCTCAGGAATGGAACTGGAAGTCAAAACTTGATCCTAAGTGCTTCTCGTACAAATCCACATATTCAGCAGGAAAATGAAAACATCAAGTGACTGCTGAGGCATCATTTTCTAGGGAAAAACATACAGTGATTGTCCTTCCATCCCAGTTTGATGCAGAAAAAAGTACTCATGCCTTCTTAAATCCTAACTCTATGTGCAGGCGGATGAGCTGAGACACTCATGCATAAGTAACACTTGCAGTAGCAGCAGCAGAAGTAGCAGAAAGGGAGCAGGGCGTCTTTGAAAACCTCACAGAATCAAATCTGTCACAAATAAGATCTCAAGTGTGTGTGTGTGTGTGTGTGTGTGTATGTGTGAGTGTGTCCTTGGCGATCCAGATCCTCTCCTCGGGGAGCAGATGTATACGTGAGGAGTGTAAGAGGGCTTGTGTACGTCCTGAGAAACGATGTACATCTGCTTGTTTGTGTTTAAAGACGAGTTCAGTTTGAGCGTCGCTCTCCGATCTGATCACAGGATCTTTGGGGGTTAGGCGAGTGTTCGAGCGACCCATTCGTCCCTGGGTCACGGCTCCTGTTTTTGTAGGGCCTGCTGTAGTTTATTTCGGTAAATAGCGTATTTTTGTTGCACCGCTCGGACACGCTCCGTCTCTTCTTTCTCTAGGATGACCAGGAAGTTTTGGAGCTCGGGCACAGAGAAGGCATGCCACTGTGTGAAGAGAGAGTGGAACGCATGATCAACGTTTGTTTTACAATTACAGCCTCTTATTTACTCACTTCAATACGTTTCTGTTGGCTCCTATAGCTATGTTCGTGTGTGTGTTGTTTCTGTAGGTTTCTCACCTCTACCTCTCCTGTCTCATTTTCCTTAAGAACAAAGGTGAGCTGCTCCGCGTCTGGTCCAGCAATCAGCCTCAGCTGAAGAGGACGCTCCGACAGAGGAAGCTTCTGGAACAAGTCTGCACAAAAACAGAGACTAACTCAGAATATCATCTTATTAAGACAGGGGTGTCCAAACATGTCAAGACAAGAGCCAAAATTTGTAAAGTTAACAGTTCTCACAGTCCACAGAAATGTCATTTATTTAATAAGCAACAAATGAAAAATAAGTTTAATGGTCATTTTTTCCTATGTGTACTCCTTAAAATGGGTTCAGGGTATGCAAGCTTATTAGTGTAAATTTTAAAAAGGTCATTCACTTGTGCTTTTAAAACATTTGCAGTGGTCTAGTAGAAATGAATGCCTTTTAAGTCACACTCTGGGGAAACAAAGCTCTGGCTCACCTGTTTCAAGATCTAGAATGTTGCTGGATCAGAGGAGAGTTTCAGTCTTATTTCCTGATATTCAGACTCGCTTCTGATTGGATAAGAGCAACATGATTCTACCACTGACTCTGCGTTGCAATGTTGATGTTTTATCTCCACAAATAACACAAGCCTGGAGGAGTTCTGCTTAGCTTCTAATAGCCAAGGGCCTCGTTTATCAAGCTTGCTTACGCACCAAACAGGGTTGGAAAACTGAGTAAGCAACTTTCCATGCAAACTTTGGGATTTATGAAAGAAAACTTAGCGAAAAAATGTGTGCAACTTTAAGTTGACTAAGGACCTGGCTTACGCACATTTTGGACATGGAGAGCACCTACAGTGCTGCTGCTGAGAATAAAATAATGAAATCCTGCAGCATTATCATTTGTACTGCTTCGTTTTCACACAGAACAAGACCCCCCACACGCACACACACGTACGTGTACACACACATGCGCGCACACTCACACACACACACACGCACAACCTGAAGCGCAGAATACGGAATGCAGAATATCAGCAGGGGGACAGATTGAGACAGAATGTCATGCGTCTGTGACAGTGTGTGTCCTGTCACTGTGACCCGATTGATCATGCGCCCTGGCTACTTGGACAAGAGAGATATCTGTTTGGCTGACTGGCTAGCGTGTGTGACTTTCACCTGGGAGTCTGGGGATCGAATCCCGATTGGACCATTTTTTATATCCGCCACAGATCTCTCTGAAGAATTCAGCATTGACGGCTTCAGCAATGGTGTGCCACTCCGTGGATTTTCTATTATTTGTTTTGCAAAAGCACTTCCTTTCATTTTTCCACCTCACCCACAAGTACCTCAATTTCTGCTTCTGTGAAATTGCGCTTCCTTGATCTGCCTTGATCTACGGTCGCCATCGTCATTGGCAGAGCGCTGCAACAGCCGGCTTATGTATATGCATGAGATCCACAAGGCACTTTGCGTTGACCATTTATGGCAGTAAGTGGGCATGGTGAGAGCGGGATGTGACTAAAATGCAGCTGAGAAACATTCTTGTTACTCTCCGATTTATGAAGCGGAGATTGCGTGCAGCTGTGCGTCCTCCATGTTTGATAGATCACAATCCTACTTGGCGTAAGTACTTTTTTTTTGCTGAGCTTAAGTACGGTTTTAGTAAGGATTCTACGCAATGTTTGATAAATGAGACCCCAGGACATTCTCTGCTGTTTTCTGGGCGCTAAACCAACAACAGACTTTCTTGTCACGAGTCAAGATGGGTGAGTTGATGAAAGTTAAGTGACAGCATGACGTAGATCTGTCAGGATTTTCAAATCCTAGAGTTTCCCCGTCTAGTTTATATCAGAATCTAAAGGAGGAGATAGGTGAAGGAGACTATTTTCATGTTCAGCCTGCATGAAAAACAAATAAGTAGAAAATGGTTTCTCAGCAAAGGAACTCTAACATAAAAATGTAAGAATGTAGCTGGGGGCCATATAAAATCCCTCCAATGGCCACAAACGGCCCCCACTCCACATCTAAGTTGTGCCTGCTGTAAGACATGATTATTAGAAAACAAGGAGCGTTGACCTTACCCTGCCCATCGCGGTGCGTCTGACTGTACAACGCAAACTTGCGGGGATTGTCCAGCACCAAGAACTTTTTCAGCAGCCCCTGAATGACCTCTCTGGTGGTGGTCGAAGAACTTATGTGTAGCTGCTTCACACAGTCACATGGTAAATAGAAGGATGTCCTGTTTTCCGTGTACCCAGAGTCCGTTTCGTCCTGGTCCTCTGACGGGGTGTGGCTGCGGTCGCCTTCCGACACTAGAGCCTTCAAAGCAGGGACCGTCACCGGTCGACGCAGCCGCAGGTGGACCTTAATGAAACCTGTGTAAAATCCATCCTCAGCCTGGAAAAAGGAGTTCATATAAACCTTATTTAAAAAAAAATACAATTGCATTTATAATCATTATGGTGTGATTATGAAATATTTAACGTGGCAGGGGTGAGGTGGTGCTCACTCCTCACCCCTGCCACGTGGACTTCAAGGGATAAACCATCAACTCTGCTCAATGGTCAACTTTCCTGGCGGGGTCACCCATGAAGACAGTAGGAGGGTTAAAAGAAAAAGCTCCTGCAGTACTTAGATTGTCCACCAGATAGCAGAAGGTTTAGAGAAAAGTACTAAATATATATATATAGATAGATAGATAGATAGATAGATAGATAGATAGATGATAGATAGATAGATAGATGATAGATAGATAGATAGATAGATAGATAGATAGATAGATGATAGATAGATAGATAGATAGATAGATAGATAGATAGATAGATAGATACAGTAGATAGATACAGTAGATAGATACAGTAGATAGATAGATAGATAGATAGATAGATAGATATAGATATTTACACTGAACAAAAATATAAATGCAACACCTTTGTTTTTGCTCCCATTTTTCATGAGATGGACTTAAAGATCTAAAATTCATTCCAGATACACAATTTCACCATTTCTCTCAAACATTGTTCACAAATCAGTCTAAATGTGTGATAGTGAGCACCTGTGCGTTGCTGAGATAATCCATCCCACCTCACAGGTGTGCCACATCAAGATGCTGATCTGACATCATGAGTAGTGCACAGGTGTACCTTAGACTGCCCACAATAAAAGGCCACCATGGAATGTGCAGTTTTGTCTCACGGCGAAATGCCACAGATGCCTCAAGCATTGAGGGAGCGTGCAATTGGTATGCTGACAGCAGGAATGTCAACCAAATCCGTTGCTCGTGCATTGAATGTTCATTTCTCCACCATAAGCCGTCTCCAAAGGCTGGATTATCTCAGCAAAGCACAGGTGCTCACTATCACACATTTAGACTGATTTGTGAACAATGTATGAGATAAATGGTGAAATTGTGTATCTGGAATGAATTTTAGATCTTTAAGTCCATCTCATGAAAAATGGGAGCAAAAACAAAAGTGTTGCGTTTATATTTTTGCTCAGTGTATATATATATATATACATACAGTATACATAACCTTCTGCTAGTTCAGCATAAATTTACCATAATTATGGAAAAACACAAACCAGGCCATCTAATGTTCTGTGAAATGCAGAATTACACATTGTTGCTTTTATCTGGTGAGAACGCTTCACTTCCTAAACTCTAGTCATTGTTGTGAGGTTACCAGGTCTATTCATGAGTTAGGAGGAAACATGCATCTATTAATGATCATGTTACCTGTTTCTGCTAGACTT